TAAAATACCATCTAGATAGGAAGCGATCGCGCGCCTGCCTCGAAGTGCCTGATCCGATCGAAACTTTTTAATCCACTAAAAATACTAAAGGACAGTTCGAAGATAGTGAAACTCTCCAAAGAGAAAATCGTCAATGCGAAGCTGAAAGGCGGGTGCCTCCATTCTGTCGACTCCAGAAGGAATTGAACAATAACTGAGGAAAGCATCGGAACACCTAGTGCACGCTGATGAAGGGACCTAATGAGTGGATTGGAGTGGAAAATGAATACTGCGCGCCACCAACAAAAGAATCCCACACCGAATTGTGCTGACAAATCACAGGACTCGTTGAAGATTTTTCATAGAAAGAGAATCGCTACCACCTCATTTTCTGAACAGTCTGATGGATCGCAGGGCTATTTTTACTTGCGGAATGGAGTCTCTCTCTTAATGATCTCCGCTGGAAATTCAAAATATCTGTTCGGGGGCAGTCTCGGACAAATGAGCTAACGTGGTACAGGGGTGTTATACACTGAGCAAAGAAAGCAACCAGCTTGAATATCGCTTTCGCGGAAGCCTCAGCAACGCAAGAAAGGGTGACCTGGTATTAAGCAAACTGAAACCTGCTCTTCTTCTCTATGTGGGACCACTTTGTAAAGGAGTTGAAGTAGAAAAATAGTTCGAATGAACTACATTGTGAACTGAAGTTAGCCGGAGACGAACACGACGAAGACTATCTGCGCCGCATGTTTCACAGCGTGAAGGGCCATTTTAAGCTTGTATGATGTCAGCAGGAGACAAAACTGAATTTAGAGTATAAAGGTTGTAAGTATACGTTATAAAGGTTGTGCGCGTGTTCATGTTTTATCTGCTTGGAACCTAAAAAAGCCAGAAAAGGGATACATGAAATTTCAACCATTTTGCGCGTGCCCACACTTTTCGGCCACCTAGTAGTATCACATCATATCATAAATACTCAGTTATGCACCTAATGCGCTAATAATGGACACCCCTCGAATCCGGAATGGTTAGAGAAGCTGTTGCCAGAGGCAGGCCTAGCTACAAGCGTAGGGTGTCTCAAACGAACTTCTCGAATTCGCCTTGCCCTATCACCGTATATTCTGCCCAATTCCCTTGGTGGTTGCCAACTTCTGTTGCAGTGTTAAGACCTGCCTGGCCTGTTATTTTCAGGTGCAGCTTGATGTGGTTTCACTTATGGCAGCTCACCTTCCCATGTGGTGATGAAAGAAGCTTATAAGACGCATCTTCAATCAAGGTGATATGAACGAACCAGTCCGAAAACTTTACTATGACCAGATTAACATTCATATTCAAAAAAGGCAGTACAGTACACTCTTCACCCCCGAGACCCGGAATCCATGTAAAATCAAAATTGAAATTTACCCGGAATCTGGCTAGTATTTTGTCCCCATTGGTGGGGTACGCGAACACCACGTCCTCTTGACTGCCGGACAATTCCACACCCAAGGCAATACCAATACTCGTACTCAGGTGGTCCAAACACCTCTAGGAACAATTCCCGAGACCACAACCTCTCTGAAGTTCGGTGAGGCGAGAGAGGGTACTCAGTACTCATTGCCTTCAGAAAGCTGACCCATTCGAGGAGACAGAGGCCTTTTGCGTTCCGGGAAATCGAAAGTTTCGCTGTTGGTTTTCTAAAAATTGGTGGACTTGTTTTACTCACCTTCGGCCACAAAAGGTATAATAGAATAGGAGCGCTGCACAACAATGTTAGTACTGAATGGGGAAGGAAACCGCCAAGCGAGGAAGGAGCAGTAAGTCCCAAGGGACGGGACTTAATGGTGCGATTTTGACGTTGAAAAATCGAAAGGGATGAGTTAGTACGCTTTTCAAAAACCTTCAATGTAAAAGCAAGGATGCCAGGGTTTTGATAAAGAGAAGTTTCGGTCATACCAGGCAAAGTCCTCACAATCATTAATCCAGGGTCCCTCTTCACTGGACCATCCTCTAGTCAATTGTAAACAGTAAAACAGTAGTATAAAGAAGGTAAATGTAGGTAAACGTACTGTATTCACAGCAAATTCACCGATGGCATGAGCTCGTCGCAACTTCTCCAAAATAGCATTGATTCGCTCCTCACTAAATCAGTGAGAAATGAAGAATTATGTCGAAGTAGAGCAGTGATAAAGCATGATTACCGAATAACAGTAGGTACCTTATAATCACTGGAACGGCGTGGGCTACAGCCACCAAGCAAATTATGGAAATGACCAGCCTCATGCCTGAATTCGCTGTCAAGAAACTTCTATGAATAGTAATTCAAGAGTAAAATATGAGTGGATAGAACTCGGGTACACGAAAATTCAGTTATATGAGAATGAAAGATTTCAAGAAAATAATCTTCTGAGAAAGTTGGGAATGACAGTCGTCGCAGCAATCGTTAGTACCGGCGGCTGTATTAGCAAAGAATGACGGAGAGAATCGCTAGGCTCCGGCTAAATGTCCGTTGATCATGGGCATAAAAAAGAGCCAGTCGCGGAATGTGATCGGTTGGGGGGCTGGAGGAGGATGGGACTGGGTTAGAGTGCAAGGACCGGGCGGCTATTCATCCCAGGCCTGCGGCTTTTATAGCCAGACGCCATTTCAGTCCCGCGCGCCTCGTTTTTTTGCGAGTTTGCGGCCATCTCGCCATGCAATTGCTCACGCACCAGACGTGCGATAGCGACTGTAAGCAAAACCTGTTGTTGCACATATGTAACATTACTCTCGTACATCACTATTACTAGCCAACCAATTACGTTTTGCCAAAACCTAACATTTTTCTTTTTAAGTCATTCCTGGCTTAAACTGGTTGCACTTCTTGCGATTATTGCATAAGGCGAGGAACCGTGACGTCCTCATAAAACCATTCGTTACAGCACGGGTTGTGAATTCTGGAAATGGCCGCTGTAATCTCTGGAACCCATGGCAGAAATACTAATACTCAGTTGTTTATGACATGTGAGAGACCAAAATAGCCCTGAAAATCTCAGTAGAGAGCTGTTAAATGAAAGCAAAGTCAACTGGTTATCGAAACAAATTGTCGAGCCGATACACAGCTGGATCAAAAGAAAGGCGTAGGTATGAGTCAATCGAAGTGGTTGTTCCAGTTACTTGATCGCAAACCCTCGTCAAATTAGCCGGATCTGCATTGTAACTACAGGGACAGAGAGATCTCTGACTCATTTCGCAGGAATCCTTAGACGCCATAAATCAGAAGCAGCTTACTAAATCCAAAAAACTGTGTATGCTAACCGGATTTCAATCTTCCATCGCATCACTAAACTTCTGATTCATGAGGGAATCGGAAGCACAGCCCCAGAAGTTTGGCTATAAGAAAAACGATGTATAGGGAAAACTGGATTCGGAGACGAGGGAACTGGAGCTTCCGCACTCTGGACAGCTCTCACGACCTGAAAATTCAGACAGCACTCTGTAAATGTCGAAGGTATGGGAAACGCTCCTGTGCTCAACCCTGGAAACCAGACAAATTAAAGACAGCTCCTTCGATTAAATGGTCCGCGAAACGCCTCCGAACACTCTTTGGCACCCTTGTCCGCATTCGCAGAGAATAAATGGCGAGGTAAAGAAGCATGAGACGCGTGATTGTTGCAATCACTGCAACCGCGATTACTTTCACTTTGCAATGCAACGGCTCACAAGCGAAACTCCGCGTGTTGCCTGGAGCGTCGTAGGGTGGTTTTTCGTGCTCTTGCCGGGCACGTTGAATCCTGGTGATTGTGCTTGCCGACGTTCGATCAACTCGTCCAAGAAACCCCAGTGCTGAGGAAATCTTTGTTAAAAGTGTTACAAAAGTTTTTTTCGCTTCTCTCTGATGGGGAGTTACATATGGGCTACTGGTTCATGACTGAACACCCGTAATACTTGATCGCAGAAGTTGTCTTCGCGCTTTACTAACCGAACGAACCATTCCACATAACGAGAATCCCATGAGGAAAGGAGGATAGTAACCTGACATTCTCTTATTGGGCTGAATTGTCCCTTCCCAACTGCTAGCGTCCATGACAAGAGTGTCGAGTCAAGGCGAAATAAAAGTCAAGGCGAGTTGCCTTAGCAGGAGGCGAACCTAGACCTAAGGCTTTCCCAGCTAATATACTAATTGCAGTCATAACGAAACAGGCTTACGCTAATGTTTCGGAACAGGACCTGAAAAGTGCAAAAAGAGAAGACTTGTCGTGCGCAAGGGTCTCAATTACTAATTAAGACGACATCTGACGGCGTAGCATCCTTATAAGCATGACTTGGGAGACTCCTTGAGATTTAGATTGGAACTCATTTGTCTTGACATTGTAACCGGTCAGGTTACTGCATTTTTCGAGTGCACTAGGGCTTAAAAGATGGAATTGAATAGAAAACACAATAGGTCATAACCAACGGATCTGCAATACAAGGAACGAAAAACCAAGAAGGGGTTGCAGAGCTAGAAGGAGAATGAGGCGTTGTTCGAAGGAGAATAATGAGGAACAGCACGATGTTGTTCGCTGTTCAAGTAGCCACTTCTTATGACTTCTTGGAATCTGGTTCATTGATGTAAGAAGAGAGCTGGCGTGCATAGTTGGTTGGTGTTCTTGGAATGTTGAGAAGTTTCTGAAGACAGCTAACCAGCACCATTCATAAGCTCTAAACTTCTACGTAACTTTCCACATATAGAAATTTCCAGACAGCAGAAAGTGAGCACCCTTTTCTACCAAAGCAATGCGAGGAAGTTGGAAGGAGAGACAAAGGTAATAGGGGCTGCAAAAACGAACTCGGTAGTGTTTGACTGTAAAACCTGTCAGTTTTTTGCCAGAAGGAAGGCGAGATGGAATGATCGAAAGCACTCTAGCAAAGGCATCCATTCTTTCTTTTGCTGACGCGAACAAAGCAAATTAAGGTCTTCTTATGACGGGAATGCTCTAAAGAGATTCCTTTGGGTTTGAGTAAAAGAGTATGGTAACTTCCTGACAGCAGACTGGGGAAGAATTAAAGCTTTACTGGATTCCTGGTGGCATGATGAATAAATCATATGGCTTTCGTTGTCAGTCAAACATTTGCGGATGCGCCATGCATTCTACTTCGATTCAAAATCGCAGTGGCTTGTTGAATGTAACCAGCACAGCGACCTGCCAAGTATTTATTCCTTTTGTTTTTTTATTGTCTCTTGGAGCACATTTGCAAGGGTAAAAGGGGTCCAGGTTCGTGGGTGAAGCATACAGGCATGAAGCACGATATTTCGCCACAGGGGTACTACATAGTAGGGAAAAAATTGATAATGAGTAAGAGCCTGTAAAAAAGCCGTTGTTCTACTTGACTCAAGCAATTGTGTACGAGTTTTCCCTTGGCATTGTGCCAGTAACCGGTACGGTAGATGCGGCTCCAAGTACATATCTAGTCATATGTCCATGCAGTACCGTAGCCGCTTCATATCAATCCCTTGTTCACAGTGTACTTTGCAAATAAAAGTGATAATCGGCGACTTTGTAGTGTGAGCGAGCTGAGCGCGTGGGCGACGGATACGGTATGTTGACACTTGATAGGGCGGCAGTGAGGATGTCCTTGCAAAATGCGCTACGCAGGGGCGCCAATCCTATGGCTGTAGTCAGTAGTACTGACAAGAAGTACGGAGTTCTTGGGAATTTATCGTGCCATTTGCCTTGAAACATGAGTATGGCAGAAATACTTTGCCCTCATGTCGCCGACCTTTTAGTAGTAATTTGTCCTACACTGGTATTTTTGTCCTACACTGGTAACTTTATCCTGACAAATTTATCCTGATCTTGATGAATGGCTATTTCTTACGGGACCGTCTGTCAGTTTTTGTAGACGAAGTTTTGAGGTGCCCCCTGTAGAATGACGTTGGAGCGAACTCACATTATCCGCCCACATAAGATCATCGGGAATGAACAACTATTACTGTCATTTCTGCAAATGCAGCCGTTGTCTATGCGACTACTCATCTTCCAGTATACCTCAAGCAGATTCTCATATGCGGAACGGAACATCTCATAACCATAAGCGTTTCTTTTTTGCCAGCAATACATTTTATTGTATCTGTATCTGTAAGTCTTTTTCAGCAGTCGACATTCCCTTGGAATGTAGTGTCTCTGCTTTTCCGGCCTCTTAGAAAGCCATATAGATGTCAAGGAACTTGATTAAGAGTCGTTTTTCTACGGAAGTAGCTTGGAACATTGTAAATGAGTTCCTTCAGTATAACCGGTACTGACAAACTGTTTCGCTAACATTTTGACTATTACACTTTTGTTAGTGTTGCTCAAAACCGGCTTGTAAGCCCGTCAAGGACCGGTAAT